CAGGCCCCCCCCCCCCCCCCGCCAATGCCCATTTAAATGGTTAAACATAATGTTTAACAGGTTAACTGATTAAACAGGATTTTACATCCCTAATAGCAACAGTAATAAGTAATACCTTCTACTATCTTACCAGGAAACTACAGCTTTTACTATTTAGTGGCAGTAATTCAAGCATTTATCATCAGGCTGATCAACTTAATCCATTAAATCTGTGGCCAATGATGGAGAAACCCAAAAATATCAGCTTGTACAGAACACAGCAACTAGTCTCTTTAGCAAGAAAAAAAAGCCAAAAACATAGGTGGATAGCTGTCCCAGTGTTCCCCGTAAATTGTGTGGTCATTCAATAGACATTTCTAATCAGCTGGGTGGCATTTGAAAGTGCCCACAGATAGGTTTTTTGTTTCTACTAGTGTTGAACATGTGCACATACAAATGTATTCTGTACATGGACAGAAAACATTAGAGGGACCATTACTCCATTAGCTCTAAGTTTAAGACTCTGCTTTTAATATTTAAGGCACTTAAATTGGAACTGTGCTACATCAGTGACTGGCTGTCAGCCCACTGAATCAGCTAAATTCTTTCTGGACAATGCAGCTAGAATTATTGGGATTAACCTTTACAGAGTCAGCAGTAAGATCATTATTGCAGGAGGCCACTATCTGTGGAATAGTCTTACATCTTTCTGTAAATTAAGTCCAAACCTGATTGCTTTTAGTTTACGTTGCAAGACTTATCTTCAGTGGTTGTGAGAAAGGTAGCTTTGTTGTTAATAGGTTTTGCAAAACCTAGTAAGCAAAAGTTAACAAACATCAGAGCAGTGAAAAGCAGCATCTGCTATGGTAAGCTCTATACCAAATGTAATTACTGTATGAGGTACTAATACAATCTTTACTCATGCATGTTATCCCACGGAAATCAACAGGACTACTTGCACATGTAAAGATTATTCACATCAGAAAAAGACAGGTATACAATTATTTCTGAACGAATTACACAACTAAAGGGAAAGATGCATAAATACCTTCAGTGTAAATCCCAGTTTGCCATTTGCCCCCTCTTCCCCCCCCTCCCCCAATAGGTGAAAACAAAGAGCCATCTGAGAGGAAAGAAAAGCAGTAATTGGCCATTTCCCTAATCTAAAGGCAACGCAAAAATAGCAGGACTTAAAGTTCAGACTGCTTTCTGTACTTTTTACCACATTTCCTCCTTCAGTGTTTAACAGAAATAGTCATTATTTGTTTTTATTATCTTGATTATTCTCCCCCATCCCCCCCACACTTACAGTGACAGACTAGATAGATAGATACTTTGTTGTTTGCGTTACAGACTGAAATTCTTATCAATTTACCAAATGCTACTGTCCAGCAGTCTCTCTTGCTCTCTCCTTGTATTGGTTCCATATTAGCAACAGGTGTATCTTTTTGTCTTGGGTCCCACACCTTCACAGTTCCTGTAATAATTATACTTGATTTTAGATTACTGATAGAGTCGCATGTTGTATGCATTCTCCCAGTCCAAACCCAGACTCTACAACTTACTTTAAGGAACACATTCCAAACATTTGTATGACTTTGATCTCTAACACACCAGATTGCATTTTAGAAAGACACAAAAGATCAGCAATGAGGAAAAGGGCTTGTTTCAATATTTTAACAATGTGAATCATCCCATTCCATAGTTGAAATTGTGTACAGTTTTGTTTTAAAGTTCACTGATACACAATCTATCCAGTTTGCTATAGCGGTCTTCCTTTTTTCTAACCCTATCATCACTCTACGGAAATGGTACAGTTTCCACAGCTCAGTTGTCATATAGTTTGTATTTATCTTATTTCATGTTCTTTCCTTCCCACCCTCTGTTATGATGTCTATCTTTTTGCTTACAGCCTCTAAATGAACTGTGAAAACTTTATTCCATGTCAGACTCAAAATAGAACAAGCGGCATACATAGATCTAGTTGCAATATACTCGTAACCATATCAGATATCAGCCAGGGGTTCACACAGTTGAAGAAACCAGTCTTGGCATTGTCAAAGTCAGTAGGCTAAGAAAAATAACTGTCAAGGTGTGGTAATGGATTGGAGCAATCACAAAACTTCATCAGTCACAAAACTTTAAGTAGCAAACCAGCTTTCCCACTAGCACTCAAATCTAAACTGCCCTCCCCCCCATATTTAATTGCATTGATTTCTAAAACCATAACTGTTTCCAAAAAAAATAGTTCATTGGGCAATTTTCAATATGACAGAGGGCTAACAGCAGCAGTCACAGGAGTCACCTGTAGAAGCAGCTTCCGTTACAGCTGCTTAAGAAAAGCTGCAAATGGTTTTAAACCATTGCACCTTATTCATAGACACAAAAAGGCATGACAATGTGTAACAAGTCATCTATCCCTTTTAAGGGCAGTTGTGACTGAGTCAGCCAGCCTTGCTTCAAGATTTAGAAGCTTTAAGTATTGGCATTCTGGGACAAGGACAAGCCAAGCAAAAGTAAGTCCTCTGGGTATGACTCATGCTGAGCAAAGGAAGTCTCAGATAGGAGGGTCTATAACACAGGGATGTGAAAGTGTAACCATGTACACGGTTAACCACTGAGCCTGGGCTCTTAAGCTGGCACCCCATGTATCCCAGCCCCCACAAAGCTGCCTGCTCCTCCCATACCCCCATCAGAGGCAGCATTGAGGGGGGGGGAGGTGGAACTAGTGCTCATGGGGAGCCTTCCACTAGCCCCTACTACCTCTAATAGAGGCAGCAGTGCAGGAGACAGGGCAGGCAGCTGGGCAGGAGCCAGTACATGAAAGCTGGCTGCTCACGTGTACCAGCTCCTGCCTGGTAACCCCTTCGCCCCCCACAGTTGCCTATCAGTGGCAGCAGCCTAAAAGCTGGCTCCTCATGGGCATTGGCTCCTGCCTCCCTCCACCCTTTCTGCCTCTGATACAGAAGCAGCAAGAAGGAGGGTGTGCATGCAACCATTAGGATTAACTGATGAGTCCAGGCTTATCAGTTAATTGTGTTAACTGCTACATAAGAACATAAGAACGGCCGTCCTGGGTCAGACCAAAGGTCCTTCAAGCCCAGTATCCTGTCTACCGACAGTGGCCAACACCAGGTGCCCCAGAGAGGGTGGACCGAAGACAATGATCAAGCGATTTGTCTCCTGCCATCTCTCTCTAGCCTCTGACAAACAGAGGCCAAGGACACCATTTTATCCCCTGGCTAATAGCCTTTTATGGACCTAACCTCCATGAAATTATCTAGCTTCTCTTTAAACTCTATTATAGTCCTAGCCTTCACAGCCTCCTCTGGCAAGGAGTTCCACAGGTTGACTACACGCTGTGTGAAGAAGAACTTTCTTTTATTAGTTTTAAACCTGCTACCCATTAATTTCATTTGGTGTCCTCTAGTTCTTCTATTTAGGGAACTAATAAATAACTTTTCTTTATCGGCCCTCTCCACACCACTCATGATTTTATAGACCTCTATCATATCCCCCCACAGTCTCCTCTTTTCTAAACTGAAAAGTCCCAGTCGCTTTAACCTCTCCTCATATGGGACCCGTTCCAAACCCCTAATCATCTTAGTTGCCCTTTTCTGAACCCTTTCCAAGGCCAAAATATCTTTTTTGAGGTGAGGAGACCACATCTGTACACAGTATTCAAGATGTGGGCATACCATAGCTTTATACAGGGGCAGTAAGACATTCTGTGTCTTATTTTCTATCCCTTTCCTAATAATTCCTAGCATCCTATTTGCCTTTTTGACTGCCGCTGCACACTGCGTGGAAGTTTTCAGAGAACTGTCCACGATAACTCCAAGATCCCTTTCCTGATTTGTCGTAGCCAAATTAGCCCCCATCATACTGTACATATAGTTGGGGTTATTTTTCCCAATGTGCATTACTTACATTTATCCACATTAAATTTCATTTGCCATTTTGCTGCCCAATCACTGAGTTTGGTGAGATCTTCTTGGAGTCCCTCACAGTCTGCTTCTGTCTTGACTATTCTAAACAGTTTGGTATCATCCGCAAACTTTACTACCTCACTGCTTACCCCTTTCTCCAGATCACTTATGAATAAGTTGAAAAGGATTGGTCCCAGGACTGACCCTTGGGGGACACCACTAGTTACCCCTCTCCAATCTGAAAATTTACCATTTATTCCTACCCTTTGTTTCCTGTCTTTTAACCAGTTCGCAATCCAAGAAAGGACCGTCCCTCTTATTCCATGGCCATGTAATTTACACAAGAGCCTTTGGTGAGGGACCTTGTCAAAGGCTTTCTGAAAATCCAAGTATACTATATCTACTGGATCCCCCTTATCCGCATGCTTGTTAACCCCTTCAAAGAACTCTAATAGATTAGTAAGACAGGATTTCCCTTTACAGAAACCATGTTGACTTTTGTCCAACAAATTATGTTCTTCTACATGCTTCACAATTTTATTCTTTACATGCTACACACTAACATCACTAGTTCACACCAGGATTAGGCTAGTTTTTAAAGTTCCACTGTAAAGTAAATGCAGACTGGGCCCGTAAACTTTAATCAGATCTTGTAAATAGTTTTTCTTAGCATATTTTAAAGTTCTTTAATGTTTGCCAACTCACCATCTCGGCTCCCAGTCACAATTTCTGGTGCTCCTTCTCCAATTCCTAAGCCACCTACTCCATCTATACTATTTATGATTTCTTTATGACCTTTCACAGAGTACACGGGAATCTCTGGAGCTTCCAAGTTCCTAAAATACAGAAAACAACAGTATATTGTATACACGTTCCATGGTTCTCTATTTTGTTGTACAAAAGGGAGGAATTGCTGTTTCCAAACTTGGGCTACAAATGAAACATGATGGCTCAAACTTGCATGGAGAACAAAACAGCAAAGTTATAACCATTAGGCTTCTTCTAGAAAGGTCTACAATGGAAAAGGGTGAAACTGTCTCCCAATTCATGTGTATGATTTTATTTACTTTTGAGGCTGTTCAGAATTGCTCTAATAACTTAAAAAAAAAAGTATGGAGCTCTAATAGTCATCTGAGTATTCAGTCTTATCATGCAAATGAATATGTCCAGGCAGCTATGTGACTTAATTGGTCAATCATTTAAAATCAGCTAACCTCAGATAGACTGGCACAAATTACTGGTCAGAATGAGCAAGAAAAATAATTTCCCTCAATTAGGAGTCAGTATGCAACTAAACCTGGCTAAGTTCTGTGAAGTAGAAATTTCATTGAGAGAATGCTACATCTATAACTGAATGTTATTTATCAAAAAAGCATGTTGAAGCCAAGCAGCTGGAATACAACAAAACAGGTTAACGGAGAACAGAGCGTATAGATCAGTGGTCCCCAACCTTTTCAGGTTGTCGGGCACCAGGGGGCGTGGCCGTTCGCCCGCCAGGCGCCAGGGGGCGGGGACACTTGCCCGCCCGGGGGCAGTCCCCCCCAGCCACATGCCCGGGGGCGGGGCCCCCCCCATAGCCACGCGCCCGGGGCCGGCGCCCCCCGGCAAGCGCCGCGCGCCCGGGGCTGGCGCTCCCCCCCGCAAGCGCCGTGGGGCCAAGCCCAAGTCCGGCGCTGGAGCCGGCAAGGGCACGCGCGGCGCCCCCGGGGGCGGGGCCCCCCCCATAGCCACGCGCCCGGGGCCGGCGCCCCCCGGCAAGCGCCGCGCGCCCGGGGCTGGCGCTCCCCCCCGCAAGCGCCGTGGGGCCAAGCCCAAGTCCGGCGCTGGAGCCGGCAAGGGCACGCGCGGCGCCCCCGGGGGCGGGGCCAAGGCCGGGGCCAGGGCACGCGCGGCACACCCGGGGGCGGGGGTCAGGGTCAGCACCGGCACGTGCGGCGCACCCGGGACCGGCCATGCGCCCAGGGCTGGCATCTGCCAGCCCAGATTGTTCTGCGGGCACATGTAAAGAGCCCGGCGGGCGCCATGGCGCCCGCGGGCACCGGGTTGGGGACCACGGGTATAGATCTTGATCTGTCCACAAACACTAAGAGCCATGTAACACGCTCTCAACGATACCTACTACACTGTTTAATTTATTTTTTTATGTTAAACTCCTCGCTGTCCTTCAAGTTGTGACACCATAATTTGTGTTTTAATACAAATCTCCTATTTGAAATCGTCTCAGGGTCTTATTTTTCTTCTAACTTTCTGTTTTCTCTCTTAATTTCTTGTTGCTTAAAAAGTCACCAAACAAACTAACATTCCTTCTCTAACAATGCCATTCTTAATATTTCAATTGCAACTGAATGTGTCACTAGTTTCTTGGTGGAATACTTTTAAACTATCAGATAAATAAAATCTATTATGAAAATTTGTAAAAACTTTCACAAACTTTACCTACTTGTATTGATCTGAACATGTTATCTGAATTGGGCTATTGGTTACAATATCCAAAGCATTAAGAAAAAAGTGTTCATAATCTGAACTGTAAATTGAATGTTAAAAATAAATCTCATTTTAAGTACTTCCAGAACAAATATGGAAGTTATTTATTTATTTATTTTACCTCAAAGCCCCTTTTCCACACAAGGAATCTTTAGGACTAGGAACACATTTCTGTTATCTGGATACAGAAGAGTTCAACCAATCAACAATTGTTTTGCTTTAATTTTGGTCAACAGTTTTACTCAGGATGTAAACTCTTCAAGCAGGACAGTCTCTGTCTGAGTATGTGTGCAGTGCTTCGGCACTCAAGGGGTATGTGTACACTACAGGACAAAGTTGAATTAAGATATGCAACTTCAACTACGTTAATTGCGTAGCTGAAGTCAAAGAAGCGTAACTCAGTTTTTGGCACTGTCTCCACTGCAGGAAGTCGAAGGAAGAACACTCTCCCTTTGATTTCTCTTACTCCTCATAAATGCAGGGTCTTGGCATTGACCAGAGTACCCCCTCTCACTTTCGAATTGTCTTAACTAGACCACTAATTTGAACCCTAGAAGATCGACAGCAGCAGCTTTGATCTTCCTCTGAAGTGTAGACATACCCAAGGGGATCTGATCCATTATTGGGGTCTTGAGGCACAACTATAATAAAGATAACACAGCGCGAATACAGTAGGGCAGAACTTTGAGTTCAAGTTTGTCATGTGCAGTAAGGGGCATCCTAATAGGAGCTAGCATTCTTACCATATATTAAGGTTTCCACCAAAGTCCCCTGTAGCTAGATATCTCTGCTGTAGAGATGTAGCACCAAATGTTCCACATTTAATAGGTTTGGCCTTTTCAATCTAAAAAGGGTACATTTTTTTGTCAGCACATTAAAAATCTCAGTAAAACCACACAATGGATAAGCTGCTGCTTGGAAGCTGTGCTCCTAGCAGGCTTCATTGAACTTTCAATAAGACATTCATTATTACATGCTAATCAAATAGGTATACCACAGCTTATTCTAAGATTTTAAAATGTTGTATAAGTAGCGTGAATTTGATTGTAATGAGCTTTAAAAAAAACATTAATTCTTCTTCCCTCTACCCATCTCACTAATGATACTCAAGGGCCATTGTCTCTATTGATTTGCAAATATAAAGCAGAGGGAATTTTAGCTTGTCTCAGATCTGCTAGCATGAACATAAGAGATAATTAAGACATTCTTTCTATTAGTCTAGAACAACACTGTTTATGTGTCTTCTATGCTGCATCCCTACAGATCCCTTTAAATTGAGAAAGTTTATGTACTATTGTTCCTGTAGATACTAAACTCTCTTAATACATCTGAGCCATAATTGTTTCTGAAGATTAGTAAATCCTCAAAGGTTACTTCAATTTAAAAAACTGCTGCTCCATGCAGTAATCTGTGCACCTAAAAAAGCTTCCATGATGCTTACCTACAATTGATGAAAACTTGTACAACTACAGTCAATGATGTTGCATGCATTCATTGCATATGCAGCTACTGACTGAATACCTACAACCACTCAATGTGGAGAGGACTCATGCAAGTCCTTAAGTTATATGGCCAAACACTGGACCTTATGAAGAAGAATTTTGGCCTTCATTTAAAATTAACAAAACTTTGAGAATTTTACTTCAAAAGATATTATTTCCAAATCTGACTAATAAACTGATGCAAGAAGATTAAAACTAAATAGAACATCAAAAAATCAAGAATAAGACCCAAAACTTTTGAGATTTTAAGAAACTGAAGTTCTTTTTATTTACTTTCTGGGTTTTAAGAGTTCAGGGTCACATTTTCAATCTTTTCTCCACTACCAGGAAAGCTAGGAACTCTGTTGTTGTTTTAAAATGAAAGATGGGAGTCTCACAATCACATCAATCCAGGAGCCAGAGCTCTAAAAAAACACCAACAAAGTAATGTGGGAGCTGTCAACAGTGTAACTAGGCTCCACCTCTACAACAGGAGTCTGTTGAAACTTATAACCTCAGCTACCATTGTTGCCCATTAGACACGCAAATGCCCAGCTTCTCAGGAGAAATTAAAATGCTGCCAAGCTGATTTGAAGAACTAGGTTTGTTGTTTTTACTGGTGATGCACATTTGCACATGCCTTAATGCAATTAATTTGTGCATGAATGGAAAAGATTAAATGAAACATTGCCAGCCATCCTACCCCTTTTAACAAGGAGCAATTAAATTTGGGTGATGCCCCCAAAATCTTTAGGCTGGCTATCAGCAGAGTTGTGAGATGGTAACAGACAGAAATGGATTTTGAGGAGGAAAGGCATTTCCTCCTCACTCCCACAACTGATTAACAGAAAGGATGCCAGGTAGAGGAGCCAGCTAAAGAAACCTCAGCAAGTTAGTAAGAAATACTTAAGGTCATGGAATACTGGACTGGAGGATGCATATTATACTTGGGAGATAAAGGAGGGATATGGATTTTTTTCTTGTATGGAAGTGGTGACATGGCTGAGGTAGAAATATATAAGCTCTTGTTAAAATTCTGGCAGCACATCGGAGTCTAAAATCCAAATACAGTACAGTACAGACTTGTAAAATCATTTTTAGGAACAGTGTACTCGATAATACATTAATCCCAATCAAAAAAACTTCTTAAGCTGATTTTAACAAACAAATTAGTTGCCAGCATTATTGCAAGGTACCTGGTCGTAAAATCCTTTGGATCTCAGCATGAAGATACTACTCTAATACATACCTACTATTTTTAGCCTCAAAACAGGGAAAATACACATTACAGACAGAAGAGTTCGGCCATCCTGAGTTGAACAGTAAGAAATCAGATTAATCTTTTAATATAAGGAGATCTTTAAATGACACTGAAGTATTTTAAAAAGCTTCAGTGGAACCATTCCTTCACACCCTCCCACAGTGCAGGCAGCATATGGCATGTATGCTCTTATGTAAGCATCAGAATGAGAAATGAAGCTGGAGAGTTTCTAGGAAATTCCATGTAAGACCAGTCAATGAAGTAGACATTTTAAAGTTGAGTTTTAAAGTTTGTTTTTTAATTTAATTTATGTTCTTTTTAAAGAAAAGGATGGCTTGAAACACTGTTTACATGTTTTACCTTGACAATATTCTCCTTCCTTCCCTATCCCCATTTAGAAGTACCCTGTGTGAAATATGCCACTCTCCACTCAAGTGGTGACTGCAATTCATTACTACGTATGTTTTACCAGATGACTTTGGGGTCACCTGTAGCATCCTGCAAATCCATGGATATCTGCTTTATATCCCAAGATATCCACATACACAGATGTGAATGCAGCTCTCCATGGATACAGATTTTTGTGGATACAAATGTTGTCACTAGAACAGTATTCCCTGTAAGCAGTGTGCTTCTGCCACACCAGAGAAATTAAAATGCTGCCCAGCTGACTAGCAGAGAGCCCACAGGAAGGTTGTGTGTTTCTATTGAAGGTGCACATTGTTTGCATGCCTCAGTGCACAGAAACATTAATTCTGCACATGGATGTATAAGGTTCTAGATGAATTTTTCCATTTTTGGATATTCTTTATGTGCTAGTATCTACACTCGAAAATTATTTATGCGGGTACGAATTACGTATCCATACAGGGTTCTAGTCATTTGAGGCAAAAAGTGTCATTAGAAGGCAGCATATGAAGTGACCTTAAAGTCTATGAGACAGCCACATACCCGGGGTTCCTGTTCTTTATTGGTGACTGCAGGGGGAAGGACTACATTGTCTTACCAGACCTCTCCTCCTTTCATCTGCAAGGTGTGTGAGGAAAAAAATGAGACCATTCTTGCAGACTGCATCAGGGGGGTGCTGACAGCATCTTTATCGGGGGAGGGAGGGAGATTTTCAATGGAAGGGGAGAGTTTTGTGCTTCCACCCTACACCCCGGCCAGACGGCTGAGGGGCCGCCTGCCCAGCACCCTGGGTTGGGCAGGCCCGGCGTGCCCCAACATTACCATGGCAACCAACCCTCAGGGAGCAGGTGCTGCGGGTCCTGGGGACAGCAGCTCACGGGGGAGGGAGGAGACACTGAGGGGCCTGGAAAGAGCAGAGACTCAGAGGCGGGGGGGGGGGGGGGGGGGGGGGGTGCACC